AAATTTGTCTCTCATTCTCTCATTTATACTAATATAAAAATGCTTGATTTGTACTCATCATGGAAAAATAAAATAACCTTCCCCTACACATTCAATTTCTGCAATATCACACTGCTAACATTTGCGGTATAAAATAATGCATTTATGTCAGTCCTTGCACATCTATGTAAAAAAAAAACAACACACAAAAAACCATTGTGTAAAAAAGAGATCATGAATAACATCACATGATCTCAACATAGATTCCAACATGTTTCATTCTGAGAGGATCACAACAATTCAGTTCCTTTATCAGTACTGTGCAACAGGGATGAAGTAAGAATAAAGAACTGAACTGAAAAATTGAGAGGGAATTTGGAGGACAGACTACAGTTGCCAAAAATCACAGCATGGTCCTCATACCCTGACAAACTACAAAGAGTTCAAAACAGTGCCCTGCAGAGAACCAGATTATTTTAAGAAAGACTTCCATTATCATATCTGAGTATACCTAAAAAGCTTTTTGCTCTAAATCCCACTTATCAAATTTTCCTATTTACATTTATGATATCATCATAAACAGAGGAAGTCCAAGGATTTGGAAAACATTACAATATGATCCAGGAGATAGCATTTTATCTCATCATCCATAAAAGCACATGCATAAGAGCTATAGAAGGAAGTTGAGGAAAAGGCGAATTTCTTTTGAACATTTATGATTTTGCTGCATTGTTTCATTATTCAAGTCAAGCATCATAAAGGAAAAAAAAATTAGTTTAAATGAAACGTTAGCAGAAGCTGTTTTGTGAGGTTTCAAACACTTGACATCAAAATCTTGGCTATCTCCTCTGCTGTCCCCTTCTTTGCATTTTCTAGATCACTTTTCCTCATAGACTCATTAGACATATTGTTTCCTTCAAAGCCAAACTAACAAGGTCTTACAGGAAATACCTGTATTCAGAAAAACCAAGCCCAGATCTGAAAAAACAAAAAAACTCAAAGAACTGCAAAACAATGCAGAAAAACTGAATAAGTAGCAAACGTATGAAACATTTTTGTAAAATTCTAAGATAGATAGTTTTTTTATGGTTTGCTTTTTCTCCAAATGAAATGGTATCTACTCCAAAATTCATTTCATGTGCATACAGTCCAGAGTTTCATATGTGCCTCAAGTTTAGTATTTCCTATCAGCTGGAATTTGCTAGCTCCCCAGAAAACCTGAGTCTGTGGAGGTTGAACTGCTCATTGCTCACTGAAACTTAAAAACCTGTTCCTTTCTTTTTCTATGCAAGAATTAAGTTAGGATAATATCTGGAAAGATTTCATACTATTCCTATATGCTTCACTTTACAGAAATGCAAGATTCAGTCTTGTAAATACATCCATAATGTTTCAGATGAATTTTAGTAACATCTCAAATTTTTTGAATTGTAAACGCAAAAATAATTTCAGCAACCAACTCCTTCTGCCCTGGCTCAGTTCCCGAGAGTCCAAAGGAGTTCCTACATTAAAGAACATACCATAGAAAAGCTAGGTGTTAATTACACGAGTCCAAAAAACCTACACATAAATACAGTAGCTTCTACATGAAATAATTCCTCGTATTTGCCTTTTTGCCAAACTGAACAATGTTTTTCCCATCATCTTTATTTACATACATTCTGATGAGTTTTAGCTAATCAACAGCAAGTGAAGAAATCCACATCTATCGTGCCATACCATAATTGTATGAAATCCGTGCCATATCACAGTTGCTTTAAGGTATAAATAACATGCAAAAATCTTCTCCTAAACATAAAAACTATTCATAGGAGATGACACAACAACAGCCTGTCATTCAGGAATCCTGCTTCTCAGTGTATACACCTAATGGTTTCTGCTTTCAATAGTTTCTGCACAGACTGATCACTTATGCAATCAGAAAGAATACTGCAAAAAGTAATAACTCATGTTTCTGCACGTTCAGTTGACTAAATGGAAGATTATCTTGAGGCAAAATACACTCTTGAATTATATATAGGAAGAAATGCAAGCACTGAAGTACAGTGAAAATTCTGAACTGCCTCAATAACTCCTTTTAGTTTGCCTTGGAACTGTTTCAGAAAGCCAGGCTTTTAAAGGAGATTAAAAATGGAATTTACATGAAAGTTTAAGGGAATGCAGTTCTTTGAATTCTAATGGAAGAGCTATGCCTTTAGTTACAGAGCTACATAAAACACTCTAACCTGCAAGACAAAACTGACAGAAGATTCAGCTATCTAACATCAATAAAACACAGGTTAAAAGGGACATTTTTCTGAATATTAACTTTTAATTGACTTTAGGCCTAGTTTTATTATTTCTTTGTTTTAAAAATTCAAAAAATATTTACATTCCAAGCTTCCTGCCAGTAAAAGTGGAATAAATCCTGTTACACATATTTTCTTACAACACAGCAAAAGACTTGGGTAATCATGTGAAATCCTTTGATTTCACTGCCAGATGAAATACGATGAAAATAAAGCACTACTGCAGCAAGCAAAGAGAGGATGTCAGTAGAGAACTTACAATTAGTTGACATCCAGTATTAGGATGCTTGTACTAAAAAAAAAAAAAAATAATAATAATTTAAGTCAACTTAAACTATTTGCCTAATTTCAGAATTCTCATGATTAAAATGTAAACCTGGTAAAAAGTGTTAGTTACCAGATTGAATTTCTGAAATAATTACATGGATCTCCTCATATGTATACTAATACTTTGAAACACACAGTACTGAAAGTCAGGTATTAATTTTGATAGCATACATTGAAATGCCAGAAGAAAATATGGAAGAAGAGAACTTTAAAATAATTTTTTGAAGTTTCCTTCCTTTTCTTTCTGAAGCTTGATTCTCCAATTACAAGACATTATCCTAAGAACACTTACAGGTGAACAATACTTTACAAGACCTACCCGCAGTTATTTCTGTAACTTGTGTAATACTGAAATGATACGTACAAGAAGCAATTGCTTATGATTGCAACTACTGAGCAGTATATGAAATTTGAAACAAATAATTCAATAAACAGAAAAGTTATAAAGAAACATCTTCAGAATTCTTCAATTCCAAAGCAAAAATCACTATAAGCAAGAATACTTCTCATAAAAACAGATTCCTAGAACTGTAAGTTAAATTCCTCATGATAGTGTACAAAACAACTGATTAAAACTTTTGTCAAAAGAAATAAAAACCCCCCAAAAGAGATTTTTAAAAAGTCAATACTTGTAGAAAATATTGAATACTTTGGCTCCAGAAATTGGATGAATGTAGTATACCTTTGTAAAGGTAATACAGAAGGTGTTATTAAGTTTTACTGTGGAAAGTCAACAGTAAAACACAAGGATGTTACCTGTATATAGTATCAAAGTTGCCAATTATTTTTTGATAAAATGAAGAAGGAAAATATGCAAATGTATGATATAGCCTATTTCTATACATAACTTTTACATCAAATGTTACCTCTTAAGAGCTTCTCTAAGCTCCCTATGTTCCTCTTTCCTAGAATTAAAATCAACTTTGCTTTTTCTTTCCTGCACCTCTCAAAATATAGTTTCACTGATGCAAAAGCCAAAATACCTAAATCCTACACTCAGAATTATATCCAGGTATGAAAGAAAGCTCATCTTAAGCCCTGCCATAATGTTTTTATTAATTGTTTTAGGAGTAAAAATCTGATCACTTCATCAAATAAATGCAGTATAGATATGTCAAGAAAACTAGAATTAACACCTGCTTGACTGAAAATTTCCAAATTGATAAGCAAACTCTCTATGGTATAGCACCATCAAAAATGGTGTAAAAAACGAAGAGTGTAACAGTATTTCATAACATTTTTCATATAAATTGGTATTTAATAAGCTTTCTTTATGCAGAAAGAAAGAAATCAGTGATCAACAATAAACATAAGTAATCGTGGCATACAACACTTATGAAGAAATGATCTTGGGGGAAAATACTAAAATTCAACCAGATCTGGTATGATTTATCAATTTATATTGCCTAGTTCAAAAGACAGCTTCTCGTCAGTTAAGTTGCGCACACGCACAGTATATTTGATATCAAATTTAGCTGGAGGATATGCTGAAATATTATACTAATTTGTGCAGAAGAGCTGATATGATGCACAGTGGCCTAAAGCTATAAGAAGAACCCTATGGGGAATGATGAAACACACTTTTAACAAATGCTTGCTGTATTAATAATGGAAATCTAGGATCATTTTCTATCATTTAAATTGTTTGCAAGGACATACGTAGTTAATACCCTAAACTGACTCATAAATCTTTAAAAAAGCTTATACTTGAGACAAAGAATAGCTGCTTTCTATACTGACAGTCTGCTCTTTTCTGTTTACCTTTTCTTAGCTAATTAAACAGTTCACCAATCTTGAAGTCACCATACATCCGTGAACATCTGTGAACATACATCCGTTCACAGAGAAACCAATTTGCTTGGTATTAGTTACATTTGCATATCATATCCCAGATATTTGTCTCATCTTTTCACGTCTGAAAAGTTGTATTCATGTTAAGCTAAACACCCTTGGCACAATGTAGGAATTTGAACTGCTGTTGTTCTTGAAAGCCACTTTCTACATATCCCAGCAGATTCAGAAAAATAAAGTTTTTCAGCTTCTACGAGTTACCTTTGACCGTAGATACACAAGGTCATAATAGTTTCATCTTTCCTGCATGCCTTCAAGCCAGACCTTCTATCACACTAAAACTAACTGTTAATTAACAGAACATAGATAAGCAAAAAACCCTACCATACCTCCCAAGTTTCCATTATCTAGTCTGACTTCACGATAACTCCAGTGATACTCAGATGATTAGGTCTTAACTTAAGAACTTGAGAATTATGCATTATCAGAAGAGAAAAGATGTTAAAATAAGCAAAGATTTATAAAAACACATTTTTCTACACATTCCTTCCATACATATACTGATGCGCCATGACACCTCTATCTGCAATTGACACAGAACATAATTATACATACCACAGTTTGGTGGTTAACTTGAATCACTTCATCTCCAGCATGGATTTTCTTGCACCGATCTGCAGGTGACTGAATTTAAAATAAAAGAGATGATAAAGAATACAGTCCTTACTGGTCATCATCTCTCTTTCAGCAGTATGATTGCTAAGGTATGTAGATCAGGTTAGATAGATAATTACATTCCACTGTGAAACGAACAATTAAAGAAATGTTTAATAAATCAATTCATTGTTGTTGGTGAAAAATAATATGTGCTATTGTACACAATACAATCAACTGTTAAGGAAGCTATGTATATATATTATTGAAGGATAATCAAGTCTTATAAATTTCTTTATCATTTCATTCTACTCAAAGCCACCTGATATCTCTCAGGACTTAACAGATAGTTAAGAACCTATCAAGGCGAATTTGAAATTGCTTCATAAAAAAATTTCCCAACATTGCCTTTTGAGTTACTTTTAAATATTTCAATAGATTCAAAAGAACTTCAGTAAATCACTGCTCTTAGAAGAACACACAAAGAAAAGAAGTTTAGGCCAGCTACCAGGCAGGAAGATCACGTAACTTACACGGTGACTTAGTGTCTCGGTCATTATTATGGTGAAAGAACTGAAGTATTGAAAAAAAGCAATACAATCCTAAGATAACACTTTCAAGAAGCAAAGTAGCTTTTTTCTTTGCTTTTGCCTTAAAAAAAAAAAACACCCAACAACCACAACCCAAAAACAACAACAAAAAAACACCCCACAAAACACGCAACAAAAAGAAAACCAATCAACAGAAGAACCTTTATCCTCTTCTACTACCTATATTTACAGTAGACCAGCTGTTTTCTGAGGCAAGAAAAAAAACACCAAAAACACACACAAAAAAACCCCTTATGTTTGAAGGAAAATAACTTCCTTAAGCTTTTTATAGAGTGACAATTCTATCTTTCTCTCAATACTGTAGCCTCCAGCCTATAAAGTCACTTAATCAACTGAAAGGCAGAAGTTGAAATTGACAATCTAAAAAAAAACCCAAAAACAACATGTTGCTCAGGAGCAGATTTTCAAATACCTGCTATGAATTCTAAAGGAATAAAGAAAATGAAATTAATTTTCAGGTAAGATAACACATAGTCTTGATAACATGCACCAAGGCTGCTAAGTGGATTGTTTGTGATAACTTGTGTACTACATTCCATGTTCAAAATACGTGTTCCATAGCTGTGCTATGACTTTCTAATGCAATCTCACGTGCATCATGGCTTGGATTAAGAATGGTGTTTAAAAGAAACTGAGAAACCCAAGAGAAATATGTGTCTAAAAGATATTTCACTCACAACTCAGTTCTAGGAGGCATTGTTTACAACATCCTAAGTCAAGGTAGGCTGGTAGAAGTGTAATTTTATTTACATAAAGAAAAGCTGCCTTGGCTGATCAGCACTATTTCTTGGGGGAAAAATTTTAGCACTAACTGTGTACCAGGAATCTACCTTCTATCTGATGCTTCACCACTCACACCTGCTCATTCACTCTGCTAACAATCTTTACAATCCTGCTGTGTAATATCACTATTTTAGATCCAATATTTTTACACCTAAGAATTTCAAAATGTCTATGCTAGTGAATCCTGTGTCACCACCCTTGAACATAATGGGATTTTATTACAATATCATCTTTCTCCTGTACTGACTTCAGCATTTGCAGCTTAAATCTCGACAAAACTGGTATTTTTTGTGCAGCAGTTTGCTGAGACAGTAAAATAAAGGGGAATCATCAGACTGGAAAAGTCTACTGTAAAGAAAACAAATAAATGATTGCAATTATGCTTGGAATACAATTCAACATGACAGTGAAATCATTTATACTGGAGTCTCAAGGCTGTTGCTTTATGAACAAGTTTCAATTTCTTAATACTTTTTTGACAAGAATACACAAGTTAAGAAATAAAATCTTTTATCATTATTTAAGGAAAATAGAAGAGCATTGATAAACTTTTTTTTATTATGATTTTCTGATCTTTAAGCAAAGCATCAATTTGTGAAGCTCTAAAGGGAGAAATACTGTGTCACATGACATCGTTAGCTAATAATTTAGTTTAACAGGGACTTGAACAGATGGAAGTACCTGTTGCTGATGCTTATCCATTTGTATCATATAAGCTAATCGAAATAAAATTTATTCTTCAAAATGCATTTAGTTTTGATCTTTAGGTTAAATGTTGTCTATGTCCCATTCCCCCAGTACAGCAAAACTGTCTGAAAGACCAACTCATACAACCCTGCTCCCATTATTTCTCTTGGAAGGCCTGTCTTCCCTGAGTACACCCTGCAAACCCAACCAGTGGACCATGCATGCATGAGAACACTGGATCACATCCTTTCAAGTTACAATCCTGCTGTAGATGTAGCCCATGACATTTCTTAGAAAGCATTATTTTCTATTAGAAAAACAAATTACCAAATGATTTTATTTGGAGGATACATTTGTTTTGTCATTTAAAAGACTGTCTCTAATTTGGTCTAGACAGGCTACTCAGTATGAAAGCTGTAATCTCTTGTTGGAATAATACATCCTTTAGAATTGTTATTTTCAAACAAGAGTGGGAAGACACAAACCAGAAAATTGCTCTAATGCTACAGGATCACTAGACAGAAGCTCTTCCAGGGCAGTGACCTGTAAGAAAACTTGGTCTCTCATACTTCAAGACTCAGAGCTCCACTAATCTCAACTGTAGAACTGATGTGTTTGGAAAGATGGCTCCTAATGCTGAACGGCAAGATGCAAATTCAGTTTTATAGCTGAACATCAAAAACTTCAAATTGCAAATAGAGAAAGTAGAACTGTGGATTAAAATGCTATGTTAGATTAGGCAGCTAGTATTGCCATACTACTGTGTTTATTAAAAAGACAAGTGTTTCTCTGAGATCTGTCAGGAACATGTCAGATAAAAAGTTGTGCCAATGTCTTACTACAATGAGCAGAATTGGAAAGACAAAGGCTGTAAACTTTTGTTCAGAAGGAAGAGATTTGGACTAGAGTTTTCCTAGAACTTCAACTGCACCAAAAATGGTAAATGGGGCAGCATCAATGAATCAGATTGAATCTGCATCATCACCACCTTACGCTGACCATGCTGCTTAGATGTTTCTCCTCACGTCTATCAGAATCACATTACTTCTTCATTAAATAAAGTGGCTAGCAACTGTGTGTTTAAAAGAACACACACACTTTACTTTCCCTAAGGCACAACTCATTTTCACTAACATTTTAGCACACAACAGGCTTTTCCCTAGATAGCAGACTGCAGTTTCTTGGTTTGCTATGAGAACCTTAGGGCTGTTACAATGAATGAGCATCAGTAACAAAAGCAGAAAAGCCATCATAACTGAAGCTTCCTGACATGGTTCTAAATTACGTTCATGAATCACAAAAGATAAATGTTTTGAGGGAATGCATTAAGATTATTTTTATCATCGCCCCTGGGAAATTAAAACCACCATTAGCGACTTACAGAGAGAAATGGTTCCTTGTATAATCAGATATCCAGCCGTAAAAAGCATACTCTCTTACGCTTTCTAGAGTTGGCTCAACTATGCTTATGCTGTTTTTTAGCTTTGCTAATTTTACTGATGATATTTGGAGTTTCAGGTATAAGTACCTACAATTTTTATTTCAAGGGTAAATTTCCATGTACCTTCCTTATTCTTGGGCAGCATCATGAGAAGTTCTACAACAGATATCATTTGCTGGATAAAACATGGATATCCTGCCCATATCAAAAGGAAAAAAAAAAAAAAAAAAAGAGAGGCTATCAGATGGCAATTTCTATGAAGGGATAAAACAGCAATCCCATTTTATTCAGATTTTAACAGAGCCTCACTGAAGATCAGATGTAACAGCTGCAAATAGTGTGCAGGTAGTTTCACAATATGACACAGTAACAGAATAAAACATTTCTGACAGCTTTAAGAAAGTGCCATCAAAATCTTCGCAAAGAAGAAAAATTTTGAAAAAAAAAATTGAAACAGTTCAGTATTGTTTAGTAGGTTGTTCTGTGTTTATTGAAGTTTATAATGATCACCTTGCTCATTTCTTAACAGCATGCTATTACCCTATACGTGGTGGACAAAAAGGCGTATTTCAGCAGCTGAAAATTGGTCTATTGTGTTATGCTTGCAGTTTAATACTTTCAGTGAGAATTAGTACACCAGTAATAAGTGCTCCTTTCAATAGGCATTGCTCAGTTCATGCAGAAACGTGTTTATTTGTCAATATGGAGGCACATCTTCACTTCCATGCACTTATTACAAAACAAAGCTTGACATATGGAAAATATAAAAGCTGTTTTTCTAATACTGCAGCAAACTCCAGCATTTCGATCTACATATAACAAAGATTTACCTTTTTTTCACAGAGCAAGAACTCCAAGGTAACCACCTCTTATTTCAATCAACTGAATCATTTTAGGTGTCTTACAAGAGCAAATCAAGACTGATTCTCCTGGTTTTCAGCTGAGAACTACTGTTTCAATTCTGAGATAAACAAGCAAAAGCATTTCTGCTGCCCAACATGCTACTGGTCCTCATCAGCCAACTAGCACACTTTCACAAGCAAAATGTAGTCTACAGCAAAGGGAAAGCATAAACCACAAGTAATGTCAAAAAGGCTTCCAGGCCTGTACGTACAGTATTAACAATACTTACATTTTCTGTTGTTCCAGTAATTACATGGAGACCATCATATGTTGACTTAATGTACATACCCTAAGAAAAAGACATTATGGGAAAGAATTTTTAAAGTGTTTCACAAATGATCACCATCCAAACATAACTTGCATATCTCTAAAAGAAAAGCCTTTTTTTCCCCCAGATTTGGTGGACTTTTAGTACAGGTCACAAGGAACTAGTAGTTGGGCAGGATGGGTCTCTCTGACACACACAGAGAACAACAGCCCAAATGATTCCAGCCCTAATTAGCAAGAGCAGCCTAAAAATTACCACAGTCACGTCCATAAATACTTCACAGCTTTCTTTTGCTTTGGAAGCCACAGAAGACTAGAGTCGAGTCCACACAAACATACCTTTCAAACCGATAACCAATGCTGTGAAGCATGCTGGCAAAATGAATCTAAGACTTTCTGACTGTCTTTACTCATTTCAGTGGGCAGTTCAGCTATAGAACTGAATAATGACAACTTAAACATCAACTTTATTAGCATTGCCACTTCTTTCATAAACTATGGAAGCAAAGGGATAGCTTATGGACAGTTACAAGTTCCTACATGGGTACTTTGGGATAGAACCTCAAATCTGTTTTTTCATCAAGTTAAAATTGGAACATTTTGATAGCAATCTCCAAAATAATTCAAAAAAAAGGAAAAAGGAGAGAATTGACATACACTACATGTTTAGCAATTTCTGAGGAAGTTCTTTCCTTAACTACTTCAGAGGAAGCAAGTAAATACTGAGCACTCAAGCAAACGTTATCTCCATCATCATCTCTTTCTCCTCTTAAGCAGACCGCTACAAAGAAACCTATATTGACGAACAGGGTGCATATACCAGTGATAAATGGTAAAGAGCAAAGATGACTTATCCATTTTAGCTAATCTAATTTGGGACCAGAATTCACAAACATTGATAGTGGAAAAGAGGAAGTATTCCCTACTTAAGGTGGTGACATCACAACCAGAAAAAAAATATATATATATATACATATATATGCATTTCTCAGGAGGCAACGCTCAAAATTAACTTTTATTTTGTTCGGCACAATATTAGAAAAAACTTCATCCCTGAAAGAGTGGTAAAGCACTGGAACAGGCTGCCCAGGGAGGTGGTTAGTCACTATTCCTGGAGGTGTTCAACAAACGTAGATAAAGTACTAAAAAATACAATTCAGTGAGTAGCATTGGTAGCAGGTAGATGGTTGGACCAGATGATCTTAGAGACCTTTTCCAACCTTTATGATTCTGTGCGACAATAAGAGCATGAAATCTTGTTGTCATATTGGGCTGCCACAGCTGGAAGAGCACAAAGGAAGGATCTGTTCTCTCAGGCAGGTAAGAGCCCCCTAACATTATTTTTCACCTTCTACCTCCTCTATCCACCTTAAATAACATTCCATTGATTGTCTCCATGCACGTGGTTTCCTCAGTCATATCAAATACAGTACAGACATTTCTTATACAGTTATCCTCACAACACCCCTGTGAGGTAGGGAAACACTAATATATACACATTTTAAAGACAGAGTAATGAGTCACATAATAGATACGTTGTTTTTGAGGTGTGGGGGTTTTTTGGGTTTGTTTGTTGGGATTTTGTTTTGTTCTTTTGTTGCTGTTGTTTCTAATCCCTACCCCAAACAAAACAAAAAACAGCATAGCATCACTCTTAAGATTGCGATCTAAGTGACCTGACCAGACACCATGCAACACGGCAAGAGTTGAAACCACAGTGCTGGCAGGAATTGTGTCAGGTTCACGCAGAGCAATATCTGAAGGAAGTCACAATTTTGTTTATGCTGACAATAAGTTACTGCTTTCAAGTTAAATATCAAAATGAAAGCATAGGATAAAGTTTCAGACTTAATATTAACTTCATGTTCAATTTCATGCATTATTCTGAAGGATGGTAAAATCTTCTAAGTATGCTATTGTGGAGTAGTGAACATTGCATCTAATCTAATCTTTCCTAGAAATCTAAAAGAACTTCAAGAAGCAAAAGAGAATAAAGATTTTTGAATTTTTTTCTTTAAAGGCTAAAATCAAGACACTGTGCACATCAGAAGAGAAGCTGTAATAAATTCTGCACATGCAAAGTTAAGAAGAAACGTTACACTGATACTATGCCACATTATTTGAAAGAACCAATACCAATCTGTTTACAAAACAGCTTTTAAATGGGGAGAAGTAACATTTTGCCATTTCCAAAAGAAATGCAATGGAAGATGAGCTACCCCTCCACACACACACCCCACTGCTTGCTTTAAGTGAATCATGCATCAGAAACGGTACAGAAAAGAGATAGGACACGTTTCCTCTGAAATGAAAGAATACCAAAAATGTTTACAGTTTTTCCTCCCTGCCTCCTTGTGGCTGCACAGTATCAACAAGACTCTTAATGATCAGTGTGCACCATTCTTTCCACTAAAACAAATTGGCAGATACACAGCTTCTATATTCAAAGACAATGCCAAAGATCCTAAGAACTTCTTTAATCTGAGGGATTCTTATAAAAGAAAAAGTAATGCATTTTATATGGCTAAGATAACTACAGAAACCATCCTGGGAATAAACAAGAACAAAAAAATTCCTTGATTAAAGATCAGGTAACTTGTGCTTCACTACCATCACAGATTGTTATGATCAGTTATAGGCAGAAATCCAATTTCAAACTACTTAATACATTTTATCTTAGTATAAACTATTTTTTAGTCAAGGCTTCAAAAAACAATTACTTTTTTTTTTTTTTTTTTTTGGAAGAACCTGCTTTACATTTAACTCAATTTACTCAATTCTGGATGGAAAACACAAGAAGATTTAAATTCCATTTTTCATGTATGTAACTGAGTTGTTACTTTCTCCACGATGACATCTTAATGCAGTCCCCTGAACTGCATTAGCCTCTTTAGCCATGAACGTGCTCCAAAAGTGCAAAAGTAAACACACAGCTCAAAGTAAACCTGAGTATCTTAGCTCAGCCCTAGAGCTTAAGTATGATTAGTAAAGACCAAAGTCCCAGCAGTTCTCAAAACCCTATTCATAGCTTCCCCCT